TCTCCGGAGTTTTAAATAATGACCAGCTCGTTGGACCCTCACTCCATTCTTATTCTTAAGATCCCTGCCTAAGGGCACCTCCCAGCCCAAGCAAGTATTTTGACACCTGTGGTGAGCAGAGACTGTCCTCCAGGATGAGAAGAAGATACATTTAGGACCTGAGAGAGTTAGAAGAATAATAAGCAATGTACTTCGTTCAATGAAACCGTCTACTCTAGCAGGAGAAGGATGAGCAGCCTGAGCTGGTTTCCTCACTGCCCATACCTCCTTCCTCTGTGCTATACTCCCAGGGTGCAGTCCGTCATCTTTCTAAACACAACCCAGTTACTCTTCTGCCTTTAAACCGACGGTTCATAGACCTTGCTGTTTCACATCCTGCTACTCCCCGCCCCACCTAGGATGTTTTCCTGCCATACCCAACCACTGGCTTTCTTGGAACACAAATGCCTGTGTTTTTCTGCCTGCGTTCAGTTCGGAACGCCCATCTCCTTTCATCCCTCAGAGCTGAGCTCAAATATCAACCTCTAAATGGCCTTCTCAGATGTCCTTTCCCACGCGGAATTGATTACTGCTTTTTGGGATCCCATGTATCTTGCAACATATATTTACTAGAGCTCTTCCAGTTCGTTTGCTAGTAATTTTTCTTCTGTTCCTGGTGCCCAGCCTCTAGGCAGGAGCTAGATCCTATTCACATTCAGATTCTATTGTCCAATATACTTGCCTGGCATATAGTTGGTCAGAAAATTTTGAATGAAAGGAACTTCTCCCTCTGCTCTGCCCCACAGTGTGACCCTCAAGTATGAAATCAAGAAGCTGATCTACGTGCATCTGGTCCTATGGCTGCTGCTGGTTGCCAAGATGAGTGTGGGACACCTGAGGCTGTTGTCGCATGATCAGGTGGCCATGCCCTATCAGTGGGAGTACCCATATTTGCTGAGCATTGTGCCCTCCCTCTTGGGGCTCCTCTCCTTCCCCCGCAACAACATTAGCTACCTGGTGCTCTCCATGATCAGCATGGGGCTCTTTTCCATCGCCCCCCTCATTTACGGCAGCATGGAGATGTTCCCTGCCGCACAGCAGCTCTATCGCCACGGCAAGGCCTACCGCTTCCTCTTTGGGTTTTCTGCCGTCTCCGTCATGTACCTGGTGTTGGTGCTGGCGGTTCAAGTGCATGCCTGGCAGTTACACTACAGCAAGAAGCTCCTAGACTCTTGGTTCACCAGCACACAGGAGAAGAAGCGTAAATGAAGGCTGCGGATGGACTGATCCCTGGGGTGAAGCCTAGCCCTCCTGTGGAGAAGAGTGAGAAGGTAGAAGAGCTGTTCTAAAATCTCTGTTGTAATTTTGGCAGCTGTGATGTTGGCAACTGGTGCAAACTAGGCCCAAATTCTGGAAAGCTGCTACTGTTGTCATTAGCTGAGGTGGCAAAATGATACTTAACTTACTCCTGGTTGGCTGGAACTGGGTGAAGAACCGCTGTAAAACAAACTTCAGCTAGTTTAAGTTGAAGCCCTTCAGGATTTTTCTGTTTTAAGACTGACCCTCATCCTTGCCTCTTTGTCATTCTCTCCATTTCCATCCATTACCCCTTAGCCACTGAAACTGGAGATGAGGAATCAACCAAATTCTACTTCCATTTATGGGTGGTTGGGAGGAAACATTAGGAGGCTGCTTTCCCTGCAGACTGTGGCCTCTACTCTGAAGCATTTTAATTACAAAGAACCTCAATAAAATTATAACTGCCCTGTCTACCCTGTGCCTTGTGCTTGGGATTTACCAGTGTGAATGGTGCATTGCTTGAGTGGCTTTAGACACTAGGAGATAGATGGAAACTCCCTGAGAAACCTGGCAGGGCAGTGGCCATAGAGAAGGAACTTAGGTCATTAGTTGCCACCCTGTAGCTAATTAGCAGGAACTATTATGGGCCATACATTTAATCTCTCCACCTATTAGATGATCCCTTCTCACTTACCCAGCTGGGGTTATGCAGTCTTCTTTTGGTTGTATATTCATGTTTATTATTCAGTGTACAGTGTCAGTTACGTGTCTGATACAGTAGTCCCCCTTATCTGTGGGGGATACGTTCCAAGATCCCCAATGGCTGCTTGAAGCCTTAGATAGTGCCAAACCCTATTTATACTGTGTTTTTCCTCTACATACCTACCTATGGTAACATTTAATTTGTAAATTAGGCACAGTAAGATATTAGCAACAGTAATAAGTGAATAATTATATCAATATACTCTAATAAAAGTTATGTGAATGTGGTCTCAGTGCGAGATTTCATCATGCTAGTCAGAACACAGTTTCAACTTCTGAATTATGTATTTCTGGAATTTTCCATTTAATATTTTTGGACTGTGATTAACTATAGGTAACTGAAACCACAGAAAGTGAAACTATAGATAAAGGGGGACTACTGTACTATATTATGGTATCCACAATAATTCAAAAGTATTCCTGCACACAGGGAATTTGCAACCTAGGTGAAACATGATACAAATGTGAAGCATTATTTGAATGGTATGGAGCAGATAAGTTAAAAATAGAAGTGAAAAGAGATATGTAGCCCTAGCTGGTTTGGCTCAGTGGATAGAGTGTCGGATATGGACTGAAGGGTCCCGGGTTCGATTCCGGTCAAGGAAACATGCCCAGTTTACAGGCTCAATCCCCAGTAGGGGGCATGCAGGGAGCAGCTGATCAATGTTTCTCTCTCACCATTAATGTTTCTGTCTCTCCTCTCTTCCTCTCTGAAATCAATAAAAAAAAATATTAAAAAACAACAACAAATGGGATACGTGAACTAAAGGCTCTTTCATGCTGAAAAGTGACAGTAAATACTACATGGAAGATGTGTGTCCCTTTAGATATAAATATATAAATGTATAGAGATACAGATATTTTTTAATCTTCACCCAATGTTTATTGATTTTTATTTTTTATTTTTTTTAACATATTTTATTGATTTTTTACAGAGAGGAAGGGAGAGAGATAGAGAGTCAGAAACATCGATGAGAGAGAAACATCGACCAGCCGCCTCCTGCACATCCCCCACCGGGGATGTGCCCGCAACCCAGGTACATGCCCTTGACCGGAATTGAACCTGGGACCTTTCAGTCCGCAGGCCGACGCTCTATCCACTGAGCCAAACCGGTTTCGGCATGTTTATTGATTTTTAAAGAAAAAGAGAAACATCGATTGGCTGGCTCTCTTACGTGCCCCATCCTGGGACTGAACCCAGAACTTAGGTATGTGCCCTGACTGGGAATTGAATTCATAACCTTTTGGTGTATGATACGACAGTCCAACCAACTGAGCCATACTGGCTAGGGTCCCTTTACTCATTCATTTGACTGGATGGATAACTGCAGATCTCTTTCCTCTCCAGAGTTCTAGTCATTCTTTTGTTCTATAAACATTAGGTATGTACTCAGTCACTAGTAAGTACTGGGAGTACTATCTGACTGCAAAATCTCTTCCTCTAGATGTCCTGATTATTACATCAAACTTAACTCTTTGCCTTCTACCTCATATTCATTCATCTTCCTGCATCCCTGTATGCAAGAGAGCACAGCTCTAGATCATCATCATAAGTCCCTACTATGTGCCATTCATTTTTGAACAACCAAAATTCTTAATCTCAGAGATTTTCCAAAGTGTGGTCTCAATGCAGCAGTCCTGTATTATCTCCCAATACTCTCACCACACACTATCTTAGCAGAACCTTTTATGAATCCCCAAGTTGGTTTCATGTTTTCCCAGTTTTCTTAAAATTTTCCCAAATGGCCCTTGGCAGAAAAAAATTCCCTAGCCCTGAAAGGGGTCAAGAAAAGAGAAGTATAGCCCTAGCTGGCTTGGCTCAGTGGATAGAGCGTTGGCCTGCGGACTGAAGGGTCTGGGTTTGATTCTGATCAAGGGCATATGCCTGGGTTGCAGGCTCAATCCCCAGTAGGGGGTGTGCAGGAGGCAGTTGATGAATGATTCTCATCATTGATGTTTCTATCTCTCCCTCTCCCTTCCTCTCTAAAATCAATAAAAATATATTAAAAAGAAAAGAGAAGTGTTAAAGAACAGAACCAAGTTTCTCATTTCATGTACCCAGCATTGAAAGATGCATGATTGCTGCAGGGTGAGGTAACCTTAGACTCCTCCACTGCCACCATGGGCCCCAGTTTGGGAAGCTGACATGATGAGACATGTGATCACTTGCAGCTTGTCGCCCTTCAAGTAGTGCACCTTCCCGCACTACTTCAGCAAGGCATCCCCAACGGGCTGTGCAGTAAGCATTGAGGCGTCCATCCTTGGCGTCGTACGGCCATTTGTAGCATTTTATCTTGTCCACACATGGGGGACTCAGGAGTTTGAGAAATCCAAGAGGAAAAACCCAGCTGCCTATGAAAATGACAGAGGAGCAACTCGTCTGGAGGATGGTTCCCTGCCTCTGAAGGACCCTTCTCTGGGAGAGGAGTCTACATTGTATAGTGTCTTGAAGACTCAATAAACTTCTTGTGGGCTACAGTGTTCTGATTTTGCATTTTGGGGGAGCAGAGTCCTTGGTGTAACTTGCTAATATTCAAGTTAATGAACTCTCTTCCCCAAATGAGCCCTGAACAGTTTTGGCTTGTCTGGGAATTCGGTGAAGGAGTGGGACTCACCCCTTGTTCTACAGTATAATCTACAAGAAAGCAGCTGCAGCTACTTTTGCAAGCTGGCCAGTTGTGGGTGGCATGGACTGTGTGAGTGTACGTTCCTGTCCCTCTGCTCCCATAATAACAATAATAAAATCTAACTATAGTATAAATGCATAATCTATGTAGATCTGAACCACTGTGAGTTAGATAACAATTTAGGCAGAAGACTCCCTAACTAATCCTTAGAATGGCCAGACCACCCTTTCCTCCCTTCACATCTTACTCATTTGTCTGCAGTGATGGGCTCCAAGGCCAAAAGATGGAACTGTTTCAGGCAGGCCCTTCAGGCTTCCCAGAAGCAGAGGGAGATGAGGCAGTGGGGAGGGGGACCGCAAGGGAACTGACCTGTGAGAGGCTGGCAGAAGTGGAGCTCCCAAAGCTGGAGACCTGGACTTTGACCAAATAACGTTCCTTCCTGCTTGCTTATCTTTGTGAAATGAAAACAATACCCACCTGACTTATAATGTAGTTACGAGGATCAAATATGAAAGTACTTCGTGAAATGTGAAACGGATAAACTGCTATCGTAATTTACATTTATTCAATGACAGCACCTATTTCATGACATCCACCCTAGGCACTGGAGAAACATGTAGAATAAGAAAGGGTCTTTATCTTTTAAGGAACTCAAAAGCTAGAGGGCATTTTTAGGATAATAGGTAGGATGGAATCTTCAGACAATGGACCTGATGACTTAGAAACTAGAATTGGCCTAAAGAAAGCTATGGTCAGTCTACTGAAAGGTGCAGAGTGACAGTAACAATTTCAAGATGCCTTAACCCAGTAGGTGTGCCCCAAACTTTCTTTCCACTGTGCGCGTCACCAAGAAGAGGGCTGAAGCAGATCAAATGCTCCATGAGCGGGAGGAAGCTGTGGGATGATGGGGAGGGTCCCAACAAAGACTGGAGCCTCGTCAGCATCATCAGAAACCACAAGAAACCAGGTCAGTGTGTGGGGCCCGCTCCCTTAGCTCCAGGGCTCTCTGTGGCTTCTTGAGCAGACTGTGCTGAGTAGTGGATCCTTTGAAGCCAAAGGCCCCTTTGGCATGGAGCCCTGTGTCCAGAAAAGCTGGAACTGACTAGAGAAAACAGAGCCGTAGTCCTGAGAGTCAGCCAGGTGGGGAACCAGCTGCATATGGAGTCATGTGATGCTTATGTGCAGCCTTTAGTGCTTTCTTACTGTTCTGCGCAACTCCAAATGGTGTGCCAGTCACCTCTGTCTTTGGCATCCAATGCAGAGTAGTGTTTAATAGCTCTGTCAGTTCTCTAAGTGAGGGGATGAAGCATATGTCTAGAGGGGATCAAAGTCAAGAGCTAGTTAACGGGGCGTGTAGGATCTAGGGTGTTGCAGGAGTAGGAGGGGTTAAGAAATGGGTGCAGCCGACCATTTCCCTAACCCTGTGCTGGCCTCTTTCCTGCTATTTCTCTGCCAGAGCAGGAGACATGCCCTCCTTGCCCTCCAGTCGGAGGCAGTAGGGTTTTCTGGGGGGCAAGCATCCCTCAGTCCCTCTGCTTGGAGGAGAAGGAATGTGGCTTGGCCTGCTCGTTAGGATCAAGGAGGAGCTTTGGGGCTGGGCGGGGCAAGGGCAGGCTGAGGCGAGGGTTCCTACTGGCATTGTGCTCCCTGTTGCTGTACTGCAAAGTCCTGCCACCCACCTTCAGGCCATGCAGCTATGTTCTGGGTGCCCTGACCCAACGGAAGTCCATGGGGCACCCCAGACTGGCAGCCCTGCTCCTGCCTCTCAGCCTGCTGCTCATTGGCGTCTCTACCTCTGCTGGGATTGGCTGTCCCTGTCTGCCCCACTGGACTACCTGCCGTCTGCTGGTCTCCCACATGGTAAGGTGCCATTACCGGGCGGGGATATCTGCCTGGCACCGGCTGGCAAAGCTCTCCACTCTCCTGTCTGTCCTTTTCCACCTCCCCAAATCCATGTGCTCTGATGGCAGCCTCAGTGTGCCCTCTACACAATCTCAAAGGGATCTTAGTGGCCTGAGGACCTGGGCAGGGTGGAGCTGGGAAGAAAAAAGCCACAAGGGATGGGCTGTTAGCTTCTGGGCCTCAGAATTCGGTGATTTGAGGCAAAGACCCCAAGAAGAGTGCTCCTTGTGAGAATCCCTCCTAATTATACTTCTCTCCCTTTTTCCCCCCCTACTGGGCCCTGTGCCTTCAGGATGACAGTTTCACTGGTAAGTCTCATTCCCTGCCCTGCTCCTTTTCCCCACACACACCCCCCCCCCCCATTGATTTTTAGAGAGAGTGGAAGGGAAGGGGGGGAGAGAGAGAGAGAGAGAGAGATGTGAGATGTGAGAGAGACACATGGATTGGTTGCCTCCTGCAGGTGCCCTGACCAGGGCTGGGGATTGAACCTGCAACCCAAGTATGTGCCCTTGACCAGGAATTGAACCTGAGACCCTTCGGTGCACAGGCCAACACTCTATCCACTGAGCAACACCGGCCAGGGTCCCCACACCCCTTTAGTTCCAGATCCCCAGTGAGGCTTGCATCCTACTTTTTGGTTCACAGCCTGGGAAGTAGCATAGTAGCAAAGAAAAAGCACAGGGTTTAGATTTAGAATCAGGACAAGTCTAGGTTTGCATTACCGTTCTGCCACATACTCCACGTGTGGCTGCAGTCAGTACACTTATGCCCTCCGACCCTCGGTTTCTGAGGGGTCTGCCAGAACAGTAGAAATGATTGTACAATGAAGACTGTTGCCCCTGAGCTGTGGGAGGATTAAATGAGAGGCCTGTAAATCTCCAGGCACACCCACCCCTTAACTGTCAGTAATAAAATGACATCCATATTTTCTCACACATTATCTTACTTGATCTTGATAACAGCCCCACTTTATGAATGGTAAAGTTGAGGCTCAGAGGGGTCCGTAACTTGCCCAAAGTCACAGAGCCAGGATGTAAGTGGCAGAGCTCAGCCTCAAGTCCTCTTGTCTGAAGCAGGAGAGATGTCCTTGAACCCTACCAGTTGATTTTTTCCCCCCACCTTTTACAGAAAGATCTGCCCATATTCCTTGCCATACCCTGCCACATACCCGGGGTGCTTGGCTCTGGTGCTGCCCCTGCTGTTTGTGCCTGCACCTGGTGTCAACTCCTTCAGGTATGAGAACTAGCCCTTGGGCCATTCTCAACAGAGATGTGAATTGGGGGCATTTGGGGGTTGGGGAGGCTGATGCAAGTGAGACTGATATTAGTGAGTTCATTTGTATTATTTTGGGATGTTTCTCTTTTCAGCTGGCACCAATTGTTGGAATTAAAATGTCAGTTCTAGAAATTTATTATTGATATCTTTTATTTGTAAAGTAAGATCCTTTTTATTTAACTCTGTATTTTTATTGCCTAGCTCAGTGCTTGATATATACTAAATGCCCATACTCTGCTTAAGAATGGGCAGTTCGTGCCGAAACCGGTTTGGCTCAGTGGATAGAGCGTCGGCCTGCAGACTTTAAGGTCCTGGGTTCGATTCCGGTCAAGAGCATGTACCTGGGTTGTGGGCACATCCCCAGTGGGAGATGTGCAGGAGGCAGCTGATCGATGTTTCTAACTCTCTATCTTTCTCACTTCCTCTCTGTAAAAAATCAAAAAAATATATTAAAAAAAAAAAGGAATGGGCAGTTCGTAATTTTTCCCTGTTATAAATAATACAATGAACATCTTTTTTTAAAAAAAATTTTTTTATTGATTTCAGAGAGGAAGGGAGAGGGAGAGAGAGAAAGAAACATCAATGATGAGAGAGAATCATTGATCGGCTGCCTCCTGCACACCCCACACTGGGAATTGAGCCTGCAACCCAGGCATGTGCCCTGACCAGGAATCGAACCATGACCTCCTGATTCATAGGTCAAATGCTCCACTGCTGAGCCACGCCGGCTGAGCTACAGTGAACATCTTTAAGATGTTCTCTTTTTCTCTACTTAAGAAATTAATCATTAAAAAATTTTATTTACTGATTTTAGAAAGAGAGGAAGGGAGTGAGAGAGAAAGAGAGAAACATTGATTTGTGTTCTACTTATTTATGTATTCATTGGTTGCTTCTTGTATGTGCCTTAACCGGAGATCGAACCCACAACCTTAGTGTATTGGTACAATGCTCTAACCAACTGAGCTTCCTGACCAGGCCAAGAAATTAATCCATTTTTTATTGTAGCATAACTTTCAGGACTAAAGAGGCTTGATGTCATTACCCTCCCTGGTCTAAAATGACTTACTCTCCAACACTGGGCCATCATCTCCAGGTAGAGAAGGGTCAGTAAAGGGCTAGATGTTAAATGTGCCCTTTCCTGTGCAGACCTTCAACTGAGCTGGTTCCACCGCCTGGTGCAGAAATCCAAAAAGTCTTACATGTTCCAGTTCTGTAGGAGACACAAGATGCCAGCATCTGTTCAGGTACCCTCCCTGCCAGTTCCAGCCCTGCCCTGTGCCCCTTTCCTTTCTGGCCTCTCATTTTGTTCTCCAGCCCTGTGAGAGATGGGAAGTATGGAGATGAAGTAGACTATTCTTCCATTATACAGTTAGGGAAACTGAGGCCTAAATGTTGAGCAAATTCCCTGTGGTACCCCAGGTTCCAGAGGGAGAAATAGAAGCCAGAGATCCTGATTCCTGGCTTAAGGCCAACCTTGCTCTCTGCCTACAGAGGAAGCTTCTGACTCACTGTTGCCTGTCTGAGAAGGACCATCAAATCTCCGTCCCCTCCCCAGACATCTCCCAAAATGGGCTGCGCTTCAAAAGGACCCAACCTTCAGATCCAGAGGCAGTGGAAGGTCTCCCGAGACAGGACTCACAAAGGCATAAAGGTAGACATGGGGTGTGACTGGAGATAGGCACAGCCAAGTAGTGGTGCCTTCGCTAAAGCCAAGAGACAAGGCCACCAAGTTCCCCTTCTCCCCAGGGCCTGAGTTCTCCTTTGACTTGCTGCCTGAGGCACGGGCCATTCGAGTGAGCATTCCCTCAGACCCTGAGGTCAGCGTGCGTCTTTGTCACCAGTGGACTCTAGAGTGTGAAGAGCTGAGCAGTCCCTTTGATGTCCAGGTATGGAGTGTAATTTTCCTGTAAAAAGCCAGCTCACACAGTGCTGGAGCAAAAACAGCCCACCCATTGTACATACAGGGAGCCTGAGGTCCAGGGAGGGAAGACAGTTCTCCAAAACCCACAAGTCCGAAGTGCCTAGCATTAAGATTTCTTTGGACTAGACAGAAAATGCAGGCGCCTTGTCACGTGGGAAGAGAGGAAAGGAAAGGGCATGCAGAGACCTGATGCAACTGGGAATGACTAGCAGAGAAATGAACATGGTATTTACCCGCATGAGAGGAGCCTCAGTGAGATTCGGGTTATACTAAGAAACCTTTTCAGTTCCTTCAAGAAGTTGTTTTCCCTGAGAAAATAACAAAGTGGTCTCATCTGTCCTGGTTCCCTCCCATTTCCCTCCCTTTGTGGCCTTCCTCAGAAAATGAGATGACCCTCATTTTCCCAGCGCAGCTCTTGACACACCACCTCAACCTCCAGTTGTCACTGAGGCCCTTGTGTACAGTTGGTACCATTTGCAGAGACTGATGCTGCACCGCCGAGGCCCTCAGCCCTCCTTATTATAAAGTGGTGATGCACCTCCCAACATCACTGCAGTGCTAGCATTTCCTTGAGTTATTGCTTTAGCACCTTGCACCCTACATGGCATCCAGCGGGGCTCATTAAAGGTATATCCCTTTCCCTGTGTCCTCCCTCCCCCGACTCCATATACAGGGTGGCGCAAAAGTAGGTTTACTGTAGTGAATATGTGAAACACAGAGCTTATTCTTGTATTATTATTTATTAATTATTGTATTATTTCCCATACAAATATCTGTAAACCTACTTTTACCCCGCCCTATATCGAGACACCTATAGAGAAAATGGTCAGAGTACAGAACAGAGACCCCTTGAGAGGAAATTTGTCGATGAAAAAATTAAGTTTCACATAAGAGAAAAAATAAGGTCCCAGCTTCCTCCTACCCTCGGCCAGAGTGCCTGTACTCTTTCTCAGGCATCTTTCTCTCCCTTTACTGCTTCGTCAACAGAAAACCGTGTCTAGGGGCCACACTGTAGACCTGCCTTATGAATTCCTTCTGCCCTGTCTGTGCATAGAGGTGAGTAAAGAAAAAGGTGGGGGTTGTCCATGGCCCCACTCCTAGGTCCCCAGATAGTGCAGTTGGTCAAACATATCTCCACTAAGTCGGGTTTTTAAAGGAATGGGTGTTAACAAGGTGTTTAGGAAGACAGGTGCCAGCTTGACTGTGAGCCACACACTGGGTCAGAGATGGAAGTGTCCTGCTGAACACGATATTCTTGGGGGTGATTCCAACCTCAGCTCCACCCAAACCCAGCTTTCCTTGGTCCAGACCTGGATTCAGCCCCCTGAGGCGGAATAGGCAGCTCCCTTCACTGTGTGTGCTGATCAGTCATGGTGGGGGCATGTGGCCATTCCAAGATTCCATATGGCCTCAAAAGTCTTGTCCCCACTAGCCCTTCATGGCAGTCCTCCTCTCCATAATTCTGAAGTGCCTAACATTAAGACTTCCTTGGATTAGACAGAAAGGGCAGGGCCCTTGACATCCAGGAGGAAACTAAAGGGAGGATGCAGGCAGAGATTTAGAGCACTGAGCATCTGCCAGGGTGGACAACCATTGGGCGTTTGGGCAACCCAGGTGGAGGGACCCATACAGGACACTAGGCACCTTGGGAAGCACTGAGAGTGGAGGTATAGACAGAGATGTGGACATCACAATCTGCCTCTTTCTGGGGATAGGTTCTCCTCTCCGGGGGCAAGAGGACTCAGCCTCTCATTAGCTGATCTCACTCCCATACTCTGGATTTCCTCCCCCAGTGTCAGGCACCACTTACCCTTGGCTACACCCTGCACTGCTTCCCCTCCTCAGTGCCCTGCCAGCTCAGGCAGCTTGCAGTAGGGCAAGAGCAAGGGCAAGCCAGAATGAGTTTCAGGTCTGACCTTCTCTGCTTCTCCCCCCAGGCATCCTACCTGCAAGAGGATACAGTGAGGCGCAAAAAATGTCCCTTCCAGAGCTGGCCTGAAGCCTGTGAGTGCTACTCATATGCATTCTTGTGCACGCACAGCCTCTCTCTGTCTCTTTCATGCATACACGCACACACTTCCCAACTGTGTCGGAGGAAGCCCCTAGAAGGCATGCAGGCATTTTCCCTGGAGTCAGTGGGAGAAAAGGGTACTATGTCCACTGCTCAGCCTGCCAATAAATCAGAGCGTTGAATGTTGTAGTAGGCACTGTGGGAAGTTGTACTAGGCACACAGGAGTTGGTGTGTGGAGGATGGACAAGAAGAGCTGGGCTCCTCACATCACAGCTCTGCCACTTATTCTTCTCTGAGACTCAGTTTCCTCATCTGTAAAATAATTATACTTGCCCTGTCTTACTTTCCAACTGTTTATGAGGCTTGACTTCACTAAGATAAGTGAAAGTGGTTGGTGACATCTAAGGTGCTGTCCACACTTTGTTGTCTCCAAGCTGAAGAGACAGGATGCTCAAACATAACAAAGGAACAGCACAAAGCAGCCTGCAGTCCAGGGCAAGGTTACACGTAAGGACTAGCCTTTGGGACATAAACTCCGGAAAGGGAGAAGCCAGTGAAGGCTGTCATCAGCAAGAGACGGTCTCTCAGAGGAGGTGACACCTGAGCTGCGCTCAGAAAACGAGCGGGACTTAGAAAGGAGAGAAGGGAGGGGAAGGCATTCCTGGTTTTGAGAGGAACTTAGCAAAAATAAAAAGATTTGGAGTTTGGGGAGTAGCAAAGAGCTAGCCAGAATGGAGGTGCAAGAAGGAGTAAATAGAAAAGGTAATAACAAGGGGCTGAAAAAGGCGTGCTCATCTTTGGGGCTCCTAGATGGAGCAGGAACTGTGCTGAACACCTTTACAAATATCATCTCCTGACGCCCTGGGGATGGGGGTGGCCAAACAAGGCCAAAGCAGGGTTCAAGCCTCCCCAGGCCTCACTCTCTGCCCTGCTCTCTGCCCAGATGGCTCAGACTTTTGGAAGTCAGTGAACTTTACTGACTACAGCCAGCACAGTCAGATGGTCATGGCCCCAACACTCCGCTGCCCACTGAAGCTGGAAGCCTCCCTCTGCCAGAGGCAAGGCGGGAACACCCTCTGTGAAGACCTCCCCAATGCCACAGCTCGAGAGTCAGAGGGGGTGAGATAGGCCTCCCCAGGACCTGGGTGGGCAGGGCTGGGGCCCAGGGCCCTGCTCCCGGGCTAACTCCCTTCTCCCACCACAGTGGTATGTTTTGGAGAAGGTGGACTTGCACCCCCAGCTCTGTTTCAAGGTACAAACGTGAGTGAGAGGGGATGGGTAGGGGTATGGATCGTGCCTGGCACTTTCTGACCCGCCATTTTTGTATTTCTTAGTTCTCTTTTGGAAACAGCAGCCACATTGAATGTCCCCATCAGACTGGTGAGCCAATAAGTGGAACCCCTCCCACCATTTCACCCTCACCCAAATGTGGCCAAGCCAAACTCTAGCCCTGTCTTGACTTCTCTGTTCACTAGCCCAGCTCCTCCTATCACCTCCTGCCAACAGGGTTTCTCACATGACACCCTTTCCCCCACTCCCCGGCAGCCCCATCCTGGAACGTGAGCATGGACACCCAGGCCCAGCAGCTGATCCTTCACTTCTCCACAAGGACGCATGCCACCTTCAGTGCTGCCTGGAGCCACCCAGACATGGGGCGGGACAGCCTGCTGCCCCCCGTGTACAGCATCAGCCAGGTATGACCTCGCCAGCCCTTGGCCCCCACCAGGTCCTGTTGGCTCAGAGCACAGCAGGTGGAGGCAAGCCAGTTCCTGACTTACAACATCTAGTTATTTATTTACTTGATCAGGCTTTGTTCAGCTGGTTCCTTCTGCCCGTCAGCAGGGTTTCCATGGGGCATTTTCTAATCCTTTCAGTTTCTGAATTTACAGGGATAAACAGGGGCAAAGGATTGGCCTTCTCATACCCAGCTCTCCTCTGGCTGACTCAAACGGCTGCCCCAGGTTATACTGATGCCCTCTCAAACTCAGCTGTCCTCTACCACTGTGCTCCTGCCTTCCTCCACCAGGCACCTGGCAGAAGTAGTCTCTCACTATCTTGGGAGACAGAGGCCCTGGAAGATTGTAAACTACTGACAGACTTAACTCTATTATGTGAATTAAGATCAATTGACTAGTAGACTTTCTTCTGTGTATCTGATATAAAAACCATAATCAAATATATCTTCAAAACCACAGCCCCAAGCTGACTAAGCATGAGTAGCTCTTCCAGGTTCTTTCTTAAATACTCACTTGGCAGCTATTTGTTTTGTATTCTCTGAGGGTTCCCAAGCAGGCAGGTGGTAGCAAATGCTCAAGATTTAAGACCAAGCCGTGATTAAGTTGTAAGGCAAAGTCATGTGGGAAAACCTAACATTGAGAACGAAATCCATGGATTCATTTGTTTCTGTGAGCTGGGAAAAGACCGCCTTCACTGAGTTCAGCCATGATTTAAGAGCCCCTGCATCAGCACTTGCTCACCGCTGACTAGGCAATGGGATGATCTAGGACAGGGTGGGGTAGGGGGAGCAGGGGGGAGGGTATTCCCAAAGCATGGAGATTCTGATCAGCTCCCTACCCGGCACCCAGACATAGGGCAGAGCCACATCCTGCCTGTAGACAGATGACAATCAATTCTGTCCAATTCAGCATGTTTGTATTGAGTGCCTATTCTGTGCCTACCCTGCCAAGAAAAGTATATAACAGAGTCTCGGCCCTAGGAGTCCCAGGTGTAATAATAGCTACTACTACTAAATGAATTCACACTGCACCGTATATTATAAAGTGTTCCCATGCATATTTCCATGTGATGCTCAATAATGCAGTAAGCCAAGGATTATTAGCCTTCACAGACAAATGAAAAAACTGAGGCTCAGGGATCAATGTACCAACCAAATGTGTGGTTCCACACAGCTAGGAACCACAAAAGCAATAGTTAAGACTGACTTTGTTAGCTGTGGCCTTCTGACTCCACAACTTACATTTTTCCCAATAGATAAGCTACCCCTTCAGGTATGCCGGACAGGAGTAGGGCAGCATATGATTAGCCTCCCTGTTTGGGAACTGCCAGAGGACAGAGAACATCTGCGCCTGCCTTCTTTCCTCAGGGCTTGGCATAGAGTCGGCACCCACAGGATGTCTGTTGACGAGTACCTGATTGACTGATTAATGTGTATCTGTGCAGCAGTTCTGATCTGGGAATGATCAGCGGGATCTAGGAATGAAGCCAGGGGTGGCACTTGGCCTTAAGCCTTGGGAGGATTGGGAGGAGGGGGTTGGGGGCGTGGGGAGGAACAGTATGGGCAAAGGCTCAGAGCCAGATTTGTTTCCGTGCGAACAGTCATTTTGTTCTTTATTCCAACAGACTCAGGGCTCAAGCCCAGTGACACTAGAGCTCATCATTCCCTTCCTGAGGCCAGGGGCCTGTGTTCTGGTAAGGAATCCTGCCCTCCCTCTACACATACTCCTCTAGCATCTACTCCACAGGTGGCAAACGGGCCAAATCCAGTCCACCAAAAATGTTTGGCTTGGACAACATGGTGTTTGAAATTGGAATTTGTTACCACCATTTAAATACTGGGAGACAGCATATTTTAAAAAGCTGATTTCTGGCTTCTCTTGAAAAAAAAAAAAAAATCAGAAAACCTAGTTCTCTGTGTCCACATTCAGGCCTGGTGACAACAGGCTAGAGCTCAGTGGTGTCTGATTACTTCCACCAGTGCCTGTGCCCTCCAGGTCCCCATGAACACCCTTGGCCAACTTTGAGTTTACTCTTTGAGTTTGCCACTCTTGACCTGTTCTGTGCTGGATGAATTCCATATCCAGGGGGCCTCCCTTTCACCATCTCCATGCTTCATTTAACTTCCCCTGGAGGAGGCACTATACCCTGGCTCACGGGGTGGGGGGGCTCTGTGCCCTCAGGTGTGGAGGTCAGATGTCCAGTTTGCCTGGAAGCACCTCTTGTGTCCAGATGGTGAGTTCTTTGCAGAGGGGGGGAGTGAGTAAGAGGAAGGTTGGGCACTGAGGAGCCCAGTGTGGCCTCACCTTGCTTGACTCAGTCTCTAATAGACACCTGGGACTATTGATCCTGGCACTGCTGGCCCTCACCACTCTATTGGGAGTTGTTTTAGTTCTCATCCTCCAGCGCCCACTGTCAGGTAAGCTCACCTGGGCATAATTTGGGGATTTAGACCTGCCCAACTTCTAGGCTAGTTGCCGGCACCTGTTCCCTGCCTAGGCTCCCTTCCCCAAGAGCCATGTACCTGCCGCAGCACCCAGCTGTCTGCTACCCAAGGAGGTGCGCCTCAAAGCCCGTAGTGGGCAGGAATGGTTAAGGCAGGGCAAAGGTCCCTCTGTACCAAGTCTCCGGGTTACTGGTAAGTGGAGCGGAAATCCAGTCTGTGCTGCACCTGCCAATTCTGGCACCTCACCCCTTCCAGGGTGCTTTGATCTAAATAGCCCCAAAGCGCCCTATTGACTAGAGTTGCCTTGGGGACCCACCTTCAGCGCAGATAAGGCACTGGGGTTGCACCCTATGTTGTAGCCCCGAGGCCAAGGAAGATAGAGTTGAGCTGTCCCTTAACCCCCACCCTGTTCATCTGTTGCTGCTGCCCTAGGCCCCGGCCAACCGCATCCTGTGCTGCTTCTGCACGTGGCGGACACAGAGGCGCAGCGGCGCCTGGTGGGAGCGCTGGCTGAACTGCTGCGGGCCACGTTGGGCGGCGAGCGCGACGTGATCGTGGACCTGTGGGAGGGGACACGCGTGGCGCGTGTGGGCCCGCTGCCGTGGCTGTGGGCGGCGCGGGCGCAGGTGGTGCGGGAGCGGGGCACCGTGCTACTGCTGTGGAGCAGCGCGGGTTCCAGCCCTGCCTGCGCCCCGGATACCCGCACCGCGCCCCTGCGCGCCCTGCTCCGCGCCGCCCCGCGCCCGCTTCTGCTGCTCGCTTACTTCAGTCGCCTCTGCGCCAAGGGCGACATCCCCCGGCCACTGCGCGCCCTGCCGCGCTACCGCCTGCTGCGCGACCTGCCTCGCCTGCTGCGGGCGCTGGACGCCAGCCCCGCCACCCATGCCACTGGCTGGGGCCGCCTGGGTGCTCGGCCGTGCCTGCGGAATCGCCTGGAACTGTGTCGCCAGCTGGAACGCGAGGCCGCCCAACTTGCCCACCGAGGCTGATTGGAATTCCCCAGCAATCCAGATGTCTTGGCCACCCAGACACTGGCTGGCACCCAGAAAGAGGCTTCAACCCTGGAATTCTCAGGGTGCCTCCCGAGGACTACTCCCCAAAGCCTTGTTCCCTGCCTTCCAGCCCAGGAGCGGAGCACCGGACTCGCTCCTGGCCCTTGCACACTTTCGCCAGGCTTCCCCCTGAAGCTTCCCTGCCTCTCAGGACCCCCAGGGAGAGAGTCTCTCTTTCTTGGGGGCTCCTCTGACTCTGATGTGGGAGGGGCACCTTCCCACTTCCTCTCTCCGAAATTCCAGAGAGGAGTCTGCACATGCTCCAGTGAAGGCTGGAGAGGTTGAGGCGGGTGGGGGAGGCAGGAGCTATGCCTTTCTGAAGGGGGTTGACTCCAGAGAAGTAGGAGAAATCCCCTTTCTCAGACCCAGGCCTTGCTCATGTGGAAAAGGAGGGAGGACTGGACCCAGGGAGAAAGGCTGTGGCCCTGGGTGGCCAGGACAAAGGTGGGACAGTGGACACCAAGATGGAGAAAGATGAATAAAGGCAAACGTGATGGATAAACGAAGAAACACAATGTGCTTCTCCGGTGTGCTCAGTTAGGGGAAGGGTCAGCATCACCCTGCCTGGGGGTTGAAATCCATCCGTTGTAGCCCAAATCCTCCATGTCCACGCCCACACCCCATCCACCATGCCATGTCACTGGAAAGGCAAAGGAGGACCTGGAAATCTTGATCCTCACTATAATTCTTTAATGAGAAAAGAGGAAAAAACAGTTCAAAAAAGTGGTGTGTGTCCATCAGCACACAGCCAGCCCAGGGCAAAAGCACAAATGGGACCCCTGTTTGCCTGGCCCCAGATCCTGGGTTCCTTCTCCTACCACTATCACGCTTGAGCTGGGAAGGGGTGAAAAGCCCACTTTCTGGTGCCCCCTGTCCCTGCCATTAGAGCTCCCAACCTACAAAGGGTCACTGAGGCCCAATGAGTCTGTGTGAAGAGACCCTGAGTGCCAGTAAGAGGGGATCCAGTGGGCACCAAGATCCCCTCTTACTGGCACTCAGGGTGGGAAGCAAAAATGCCCTAGGATCACCCAGGCCCTGACGTGCACTCACAGCCCTCCTTAGGGACTCCTGGGGTGAGTAAGCTTCCTTACTAAGTCAAGAGGCCAGTCTGCTACGCCCTCTCCAGGGGCCCTCCCAGCCAGATGTCAGCAGGGGAGGAGGAGAGAGAGGAAGGGAGGAGGAAAAGGAGGGGAAGAGGAGATGAGGCCACCAGCCCAATCCAAGGCTGCTGGCTCCCAGGCCTAGTGGGAGGGACAGGGTGGGGCGGGAACAGCCAGCTCCCTGCCAGGAGTAAAAAAACGAAAGCACTTCGGCTGAGACCAAGACTCAAGTCAGGACTCCGAGGAGACCAAGTGTGCCAGCTCGCCAGCTCTGGAACCTGGGATGCTGGGGAGAGATTCTGGCCCCTCCTGCCCAACCACTGGGGACTGAGTGGGAGCACAGATGAGGTGTCTGCCCCCCCCTTGGGGGGGGCAGGACAGGGCCTAGGGCCTGGGTGCCACCTGGCACCTGGAAGATGCCTGTGCCTTGGTTCCTGCTGTCCTTGGCACTGGGCCCAAGCCCCATGGTCCTCTCTCTGGAGAGGCTTATGGGGCCTCAGGATGCTGCTAACTGCTCTCTGGTGAGTCTGGGGCCCTGGGAGGGTTGGGGAAGGCTCAGGGTTCAGACTTAGGCCCATCAAGGCCCTAGCCTGGCTCCCGTCACTGCCGCTGCCGCCGCCACCACCAGAACTGCCCTAGCTGGTCTGTCTGGTACTGATGGAGTAAGAGGAGAATGGGGAAGGGGCCAGAGCTGGGTCTGTCTTCTGCTGGAGGAGGCTTGGAATAGGGAGCCCCAAAAAGAGGTCCGTGGGGATCTCAGGCAGGGAAAGAGGATTAGATTTAAGATCATAAATCCTGACACTCCTTTACCTCCTTCCCAGGGCCTCTCCTGCCACCTGTGGGGTGAGTAGCCCTACTTTTAGAGAGAAAATAACTTTCTAGGTTGGTGGAAGGGAGGGGAGTTGTCCCAGTCCCATGCCCTCACGGCCTACCCTCAGCCCCTGAAAAGCCCAAGCTCCTTGGCCCTCTGGGGGTGTCAATTGCAACCAAATTCTGGGTATAGAACAGCTTTAGCTCCCACCCTGCCCTTCACGCACAGATGGTGACGTGCTCTGCTTGCCTGGGAATATCGAGCCTGCCCCAGGACCTGTGCTGGTGCCCACACGCCTACAGACAAAGCTGGTGCTGAGGTGTCATCAGGAGACTGACTGCAACCTCTGTGTGCGTGTGGCCGTCGACTTGGCTGTGCGTGGTGAGCATGTCACCCATGTGCACATGTGAATGTATCTGGGATGGGCATGAGGATCAGGCAGTCTGCTAGGCAGCACTGGACATCCTTCTGGAGGTCACTGGCCAAAGGACCCCAGGCTGGTCTGGTCTCCCCATCCCCCACCCCCAGGCCTCAGGCCTGGCCCCTGCTTCCCCGCGTGCACTTTCTGGAAGAAAGCCAAACCCAAAGCCAGCCCAGAGCAGGAGGCCTGACCTGGGCCTTGTTCTTGGGGTCTTCCAGGCCACTGGGAAGAGCCTGAAGATGAGGAGCAATTTGGAAGAGCAGCTGACCCAGAGCTTGAAGAGCCTAAGAATGGTGAGGGACACCCTGCTGGCCCAACTGCCCCTTGCCAGGGCCTTGCCTGCGGCCCCTGGGGCTGACCAACTCTCGCCCTGTTGTTCACAGCCTCTCTCCAGGCCCAAGTCGTGCTCTCCTTCCAGGCCTACCCTACTGCCCGCTGTGTCCGGCTGGAGGTGCAAGTGCCCGCTGCCCTTGTGCAGCCTGGTCAGTCTGTGGTATGCAAAATAATAATAATAATAATAATAATAATAATAATAATAACAACAACAACAACAACCACCTTCTGAATATGAAATCTACAAAGTGCTTCCACACATATTATCTCTTTAAGTCCTGACTCTGATCAGGGCTTTGGGCAAACCCTTTCAGCCCTTTATGCCCATTCTCCTGTCTGTAAAGTGGGGATAAAAAAAGTCCTACTTCATCTGGATGCTGTGAGAATTAAGTGAGGTGACAATGCCATGAACTAGGTATTATTATGACCCTCATTTTCCAGGGAGAGTCTGTGGGCTGGATCCACTGCTCTGGACTTCCGTCCATACCGTGTCTGCCCATGTGTACACCAAGCTGCAGGGTGTTGGGGACTACTCCTGGAAGTGTCCCTCCGCTTGGGCCAAATCACTCAAACCCTTTGACGTCCCCTCCTGCCCCCAGGCCCCAGGCAATATCCTCTGATGTGGAAAATTGTTGAGTGGGTGAACATCTGCTGGCCCACCTCACAGGGCAATATTGAGGACCAATGAGGCACTGGGTGTGAGAACCACTTCTGTGGGGAGGGGTGTCCAGTTACCTTAGCTTTGGCCATGTGATCCAGAACAACTGGATTTGGAGCAGGGACTCTAGTAGTTAGAGCCCTTATCCCTGCCCTGCGGACGGCTCTATTGAGGGTGTGTCCTTTAGAATTGGGAGCCCTTTAAAAAAACTGCAATGGCAGAATTTAGGGCCATATAGTATGAATATAGTTATTGGTTGGGGGAGGATGGAAGGGAGTGGTCCACACAGAGGATCCCACATCCCTGGCATGGGTTCTGAGCCCTATACCACCAGCCTTCTGCTACCCCTCTCCTCACAGGGCTCTGTAACATTTGACTGCTTCGAGGCTGCTCTAGGAGCTGAGGTGCAAATCTGGTCCTACACTCAGCCCAGGTACCAGAAGGAACTCAATTTCATACAGCAGCTGCCTGGTAAGTGGATACAGAGCCTCCGGGGACCCAAATCCTAGCCTCCCTAATCTCTCACCCCTTTGGCCATTCCCCTCCTGCTTTCATCCCCTTCCTAGTCCTATCTACTCCCAGGCAGTGGTGTGAGCTCACATCCTCCCAGTCAGTTCCCATCCCTGTGGAAAGTGCTTTGGGCACCGCATAGATGTGGGTGGTATCTAAGGGACAGGGAGCCCTTTGCAGAGCTCCCCATGAGTCGGGTTGTCCCCCTTCTTTCCTTGGTCCCCAGCCCCACCGGAGGCTTTTCTGTGATCTCTCCCCAGATTGCAGGGGGCTCGAAGTCCAGGACGGCATCCAGAGCTGCTGGGGTAGGGGCTAGGGCCAGTGGGGCTGGGAGGAGGGAGGGCCAGGGTCTGGAGTGTGAGAAACCCTTGGAGTTGGCTTCAGGTCTGGGCTGCCACATTCCAGAAACGTGCAGAGCTCACTCATTCATTCATTCATTCATTCATTCACTCATTCATTCATCACACATGAACTGCAACAGCTCCTACTTTGTGGCAGCCACTGGGAACATAAAGGTGAATCTCTCACTCTCTGTAAAAAATATTTATTAATATCAGGGACATCTAGAAGCTCAAAGCATTGCCAAGATTATGGTACACCCTCCCCAATATATCAAATAAAAATATTAAACCATAAAATGAGGGGCTAAGTAAGTCAGGGTTCTTATGGTATTTCCCCCTGCACTATTTAGATTTTTTTGTTTTGTATTTTCTTTTTCTTTTTTAATATATTTTATTGATTTTTTTACAGAGAGGAAGGGAGAGGGATAGAGAGTTAGAAACATCGATGAGAGAGAAACATCAATCAGCTGCCTCCTGCACACCCCCTACTGGGGATGTGCCCGCAACCAGAATCGAACCTGGGACCCTTCAGTCTGCAGGCCGACGCTCTATCCACTGAGCCAAACCAGTTAGGGCTGTATTTTCTTTTTTAAAAATATGTTTTTATTGATTTTAGAGAGAGAGGAAGGGAGAAGGATAGAAAGATAGAAACATCGATGAGAAACATTGATTGGCTGCCTCCTGCATGCCCCCCTATTGGGAATCAAGCCCACAACCGTGGCATGGGCTAGGGAGATGAGTTCAGAGTGGTCACAGCAGCCAAATTGGATAGGTAGGGCCTTGCAAGCCTTTGTAAGGACTAGGTTTTTCCTCTGGGAGTAATGATGGGGGGTGGGAGGTGGGTAGGGGGGCATCAGATGGTACTGAGCACAGGGGAATGATTTATTTTATAGTGGTTACAGGATCCTTCTGGCTGTGGAGGGAGAAGCAAGGAAAGGGTGATCTCAAGACAACATACTGGGGCCTACATGAGCTCAGTCCCCAGCTGCCTGGTCTGAGATGGGGACATTGGCTCTGTCCTCCAGGAGCCTCCCAGTCTAGAGGATTTGAAGGGAACTCCAAAGGGTCAGTCGGTGGGTATGGCTCAGGCTTGGGTGTGCAGAAGAGGTAAAGGAAGTTTCTCTTTGGCTCCCCCCCAGCCCTGCCCTGGCTCAACGTGTCTGCAGATGGTGAGGATGTGCAACTGGTGCTGGATGTCTCTGAGGAACAGCACTTTGGCCTCTCCCTGTACTGGAACCAGGTCCAGGGCCCTTCAAAACCCTGGTGGCACAGAAACCTGGTGAGACCTCCCCCTCCCACGTCCATTTTCACTCTAGGCTGATGCCCATGCAAAGGATGCCA